AACATAGAAAATAATTAAGATTAATGAAAAGAAAAATTATTAGAATAAAATAAAAAAAATATTAAATTTTATTTTATTATACTTAACTTTATATACATATATAACGTTTCTTATAAAAGAATATTTTTAAGCGTGCTTTATAAATGATATTTATTCAAAGCTATTAGAAAAAAACAAACAAATAATCATTAGAATTCTTTCTTAGTTTGGTAACATTTTTTTGAATAATGTGCAACTTATCCTTTCAACATTATCGATATCATAGTTTGATTTATTAAGAATGTTCTGAAGGAATAACAATAATGGCCTGAAACAAAATCAATAGCGAGTAGCTCTTAGTTCTAAGTGTTGTAATATGTATCTATCGCAAAAGGTATATTTTGTTTCGATTGTCGTTATTTCTCTGACGTCAAAGTAGTCAGAATGTGATTTATAGAGAATATTCCTCTAACTTTTCATCGTATCTATATAGATACGATAAAAGGTTATGAGCCCTTGACATTTGAGTTAATCTTACTTTTAACACCCTTTTCCCTAACCTGTCTAGCCATTTCAAAAACTAATCATTTTGATCTCGTTGCCAATTCAGGTATTCATTGGAAATGTGATAATGAGTGGCCTATTGAACAATTTATTTTATCGTGCTTTTCTTTTTTCCCCCCCTTCTCCTTTTAACCACAGAGAATGAAACAAGAATTCGTTTTTTATTCTATAAAAAGTTTTATGTTTTTTAATGACAATGATTTGATTCGTTCAAAGTTGTTTATTATGAACTCTGATTTAACGAGATTCTAGGTTTAGCGAGGAAATTTTTTAACTCTTTAAGGTTAAAAATTCTTTTTAAAACCCCATTATTACGGGCATAACTCGAATTTACGAGGAGTTTTTGAAAAAATTTCTTGAAAAATCGTCTATTGAATCTGCCAGAAAAAAGCAAGTTCGTTGAAATTTTATTTCCTTTGAGAGGTTAAAAGTTCAATTTGTTTTAAAATTGTAAGTTGGTAAGTTGTAGGACAGTAAAGAGAAACAAAGGGAATGTATGTGTCTTGCTATAATTGCAATAACTAATAACAGATTCTACTATACAAACCCTTGAATATGTGTAATATCTATCGTTGCGCATGTTTCTGATCAAATGTTTGTAAAACATAGAATGAGATAGGGATAAGGAATAGAATAATAAAACTACAGCATTCTACATCCGAAGACGAAAAAAAAAGGAGATATCTAAAATAATAATAATAACAAAATTCCTCCAATTTAAATTCAGTCAGTGTAAATAAAATTTTTTAAAATGTGTATTTTATTTTTTTATAAGGTTTTTTGTTGATTATTGTAGAGTGCGTAAAAAAAAGAAATAAATAAACGAAACACGCCGAATCTTTCACTTTTAATTCCCCTAATCATCGGATTTTCTCGTTGTAGGACTCAATCTTAATGATTTGAGGGGTTGACATCAAATAAGGTAATTAATTTGTGTAAACGATAATTTAAGTTACAAAATTAGACACAACATGTTTCTCGCAATAAACAGACCTTCAAAGTATAGGGGGTAGCCGCAATCTGGGTAATTAAGTCCCAATAATTCGGCCAGAAAAGCGGTCCTAAGTTCGGACCCCTTAATTTTACTTTTTGCGTATTTCGCTATATATCGACAACTTTTTAAGCGGATTAAAATAATTTTGTACACAATTGTAAAATTCGTTTTTTCAAAGATAATTCAAAACCTAAAAAAAANATATTTATATATATATATATATATATATATATTCCGAATAATATGTAGCTTATTACATGAAAATTGTATTATTTTACCAAAGTTCATTCAATGGCATACCTGCCAACTGTTACTCATTTTGCGTACTATTTTATTTTTACATTTAAAGGGGTAGTAAAATGTATGCTTACTACTTATTGCTTGCATTTATAAATTTAATTCAAAATGATTTTGACAGCCCTTAAGTTTAAAAAAAAATCTACATAAATATAAATGTATAAAAATCCCTTTTCGGTTGGTTTAAGCATACGCCAAAATGCGAAATAAATCTTCGCCTGTAAATGTGATTTACTTTTAATCTTACTGCCACTGGGGTAAATCATAATCGGAGGGATTGCAAGTTGGCAGGTATGCAATCGGTTAGATTTTCCTTTTTCTTACTGAGGTTATCTGAATTTTAATTGAAACCTTCTTTTCAAAAAATAAATTATTTCAATGTTATACGAAAGACATTATCTTCAAAAATTGCTCAAGAATTTCATTCATTAAAAGAGAAAGAATCAAATCAATAGTATGCTCTCAATATTTTTATATATACAAAATATACCAAAAAACACAGATATTAAGAAAAGTGACAAAAAAGATAAAAGCATAATCTTAATGAATCATTTATTCGAATCTCTGAAATGTCACTTAGAGCCTTCTTCAAGCAAGGATTAACTGAGATTTTGAAATGTCGTCGAATATAAATTCTCAAAATTCTGCGTATTCGTTCACTTTCCGTGTTAACGTTTTTGTGCTGTGTAAATTTTCTTGTGAGATTGCAATATTTTTATTTCATTAGTTCACAGATACATTCAAGCATATTTAAATCTATAAATTAATAACATTTAGGAAGTATGAAATAATACGTATAACAGTTGGAAATAGATGATCTAGTAAGTTTGCATACTATATCTTTTAATCTTTGTACTATGTACATTCACTAGTGCAGTTGAGGTACAAAAATATACTTTGTTCTCGGTATGTGTGATTATTTGATAAAATGTTTGAACAACATTCACTTTCAGCATCTTTAAACAATGATTACTTTCAACAAATACCAGAATTCAATTTTAACCGCTTGTCAATCTTCACTATTGAAACTGAAAATCTTGCTTAATGAAATAAACCATTTATTTGTGAAGAATGATTGATTATTTAGTGATTTAAACTACTTTTGCAAAATTAATCATTAATTAAACTAAAGTGAATGCACGTTTTAGGGTTTCTTAACTTTACAATTCAAGTTAAAGCCTCATTTTCAAAATTATTCATTGCATAAAGGTAATAGCAATTATCATACTGTAGTAATGCAAGATATAATAGTATAACAGTAATAATATATACAATTTTTAGTATTTCTAATAATATATTCTGAGTATTTAATCTCAGTTAAAAGACACTTTTTCCCATCTGTTGATATTCGTTTTCATAAGATTAACGTGTTGCACTTTATCTTTCTTTCATTACTATATTTTTAAAGATCATGAAATAGCTAAACCTGTTCAAACTATTATTTCTCATTTAGTCACAAAAAATTAAATACTATTGCATGATAAGATATAAATTTTCTCAGCATATATTCTTAACTTGAAAAACGAAATAAAATCTGTAAACTTTCTTCCAAGTCAATTAGCTTATTTTGTAATTTTTTAGTTAGTAGTTGCAGAAATACAAAATAATTTTTAGTTATTATTTTGTATTTCTGCAACTTTTAGATTGATAATTTGGTAAATCATTTGGCACACTTCATCACTATAAAAATTTGTAAAAAACACCCATACTATTTGTCTACATAAATAAAAGTAAATATTTAATCTAGGTGAATTTCTGCGCGTAAAAACTATATGATAAGAAATATTAACATTAATGTCTAAATTAAATCTAACTCTAGTATGTTAAGTAATAATATTAAATCAAACATTTGTTTCCTTTATTTCGTTAACCATTAACATTTTCAAAGAAAATCTTCAATTAGTTATCTGATGTTGCTAGCACAAAAAATGTTTACTTAAAAGTTTTTAATACTTCCATTATTCTTTTTCAAATATGATGCAAGCAGAAGATTAAGAAGAAATATGGAAAATATTATTAACTACATTGATGAACAAAAGACAAGCCAACTCTTTTTTAACAAAAAATTAAATTCCGTTTCCAAGCAACAAAATTAAATTCATTTTATGTGAAGAAAAACATTATCAAAAAACAAAAGGCATCTCTATATTTTTCTGAAAAACTTTCTTTTAGTAAGCAACGATATTTTTACCCTTTATCTAATTTAGAGATAAACTCGTTTAATGATTTTCAGTTTTATTTTGATCTTTTCAAATTGTCCTCAGACATCAAATCATTTTTAATTCCGAATAATCTATCAGATTTAACAATTGAACCAACAATATTAATTTGTTCCACAAATATTTTATTTTCAGTGAATAATATGACCTTTTATCAACGTCTAATTGTTTGCTGTCATAGCGCAGGTTGTTTAACTAAACTTGGCATTATTTCAATGTTTCGTTACCAACTCAATCTTCTCGTTTTTTTTAAGTAACTACTTGCAAGTAATTTTTCCACTTGGTGTAATTACTTTTCAAAACATTTTTAGAAAGTAGCACTTATAAAATCAATAAAGAAAAATTCATTAAACTTATTTCCAAAATTTTATAGCCTTATCGCTAAAACAAGATTTAGCTTTGACCTTGGATCTCAAATTAGTTCTTAATTTTAAAAATCCTACGGTTGGTATTATTTACGACTTTTTTCAACAGTCGTCAATTGTTTCCTTGCAAAATATTTATTTAATAATAAGTAAATTTAGTTCTTATATAATAACAAGCACAGTTCGTGCTATGCTTTATGTATTTCAAACTCATTTAGATTAAAAACCTGAGAGCAATTTTTAATTGTAAGTACTAATAAATTGATATTGTGTGTTATTTTTATTTGCAATTAGCTGCCAAATTGTATCAACTTCGCTTACTTTTATCGCCTGCTTACATCATTTAAAAACTAACATCACGCTTATAAAAACGCATTCCATTTATATAAAATTTGAATTTGTAAAAAAAGATAGATTATTCTGTACATGAAAATCAATTTTTTCTACATTTAACAAAAACAACTATCTTTTAAATTATATGTTGAAAAATCAAAATTAGTTAATTATAGAATTTAAGATACTCTTCAAAAATATACCCGTTTTTATACTGTGATTGTTTTTACCAGTGAAAATAAGAAAGAGAAACATGTAAATAAATTTTAAGCAAAGATAGAAATTTGATAAAAATATCAATAAAAACAATTCTCAGTTCAATCATCGCATTATCAGTGCTTTAATGCTACTGACTTACACTGCAAGGAACTTTTCCAAACTTCATCTGTAATCTACTTGTTGACAAGTGTGCAGAGAAGAGTTATTATTAACTTCAATAAGCTTCCAGCTACATGTTTTTGACAAGCGGAGCTCTTTCTTTGATTCATTTTAAATGGCTTCTTCGTCCAATAGTTGTTTAAAAGGAAATTTCAGTTCGCACTTTTCAATTATGGAAATATTGAGTTTCATTCGTGTTTTGCATACGGTTCTAGAAGTTTCCCTAATGCCAAGGTATTTGGGTGGGTCAAGTAATACTTGGCATTGTGACCTGCCTTTAAAAATAAAAGCATGTTAGAAAAATAAGCTCAAATGTAGCATAAGCAAAACACACATGAAGGTGTTAGATTACTTTAAAGCATATTAATAATAACAGACTTGACAAAAATTTAACGCCTTATAGATCTAATTATACGTTTTTTTTTAAAGCCTTGCATTTAATTTTTAACCGTCATCGAGTATAAAATAGTCTTATAATATTTTTACGGCTTTTCAAATAAGATAAAAAGTTGACGACAAAATAATAGACGCTTGCTTAAAAATTAATAGATTGCACCAAATGGTTAAAGAAACCCTTTCATGAATACAGTTAAAAAATTTTGATTTGAGACGATTTATATTCATTCAAACTCATAACTGAAAAGAGCCCTGTATCGATTAGTTGATAGGTTAAATTAAACGTAGTTTTTTTTTCAGAAAAATGTATCATTCGGGCTTGAAAAGCGAAATAATTTTATGAGAAGTTTTCAACACAGTTTCCCTTCCTACAGGATGATGAAAGTGTGATTGTAAATTTAATGTCTTAAGTCCTCCAGTGTTTCACGTGCCGCTTAAGTTAAATAAATTGCTCTAGTTGTCACTAGATTGGGGCAGGCTGGATTATTAATTGGACAGCAAAGTAGTCAATTACAATGAGTGAGATACGTCCTCTTTGATCCACATATGAGTGTGGTACATTGCACTCTATGCAATGGTGCTCTTATCTATTTTCGTGTGCTCATGTTTATTTTGCTTGCATCATCATTGATGAATCATTAGACGTGCTATTTTTTAATTGGAGTGCTTTGACCTTAAGAGATTGTATGTGTCCAGACAAAGAAGGGTTTTTCTAACTCTTTATTGAAACCAATCGACGCTTAAGATTATAATCACTTCCAGTTTGCCAAGATACATCTTTTTCACTTAATGGGATAAAGTTACCATTTGCTGATCTTACATAACGTGCAAGTAAGGATTTTTCATCATGCTGTCGAAGAAAGGACATTTTCTTTGTTTAAATAGAATGATTAAATAAACTTGTTTTTTTATGATTCATTTGCTGCTCGATAATTTAGTTAACAAATTATATGCATGCAAGCAAGCCATCACTCTTATGTAACTTGTATACTTTAAAGTAATATTTAAGTGCAAAATACTAGTATTGTCTCCATCTTTACTTAAATGCAATTTAAAATTCTTAAAAGAATATAAAATATCCTTACTTTATCTTCAATATTTTCATCAGCACCAGCTGATTTTAGTAATCTATACAAAGTACCGTTGTCAGGAAGAGCAGAAGCGTAATGAAGTGGCGTTCTTCCTTCCTGCAATTCAAAACAAAAACATGTTTCTTTTATTGTTTATTGGAATTACATACATTTGCAGACTAGGCTAATAAACCTTTGTCAAATCGAAGTACAGATAGCACTATACAGAGAAGGGCAGCACGAAGATACATCCAGGGTAACAGCGGGATTCGAACCCGCTACTTCAATGCTTTACATAGTGTTAGGCGGGCGATACCACTCGGGCAGGGAGTTCCCCCAAAACATGTTATTTTACTTTACAATATGGTTTGCGAGCACAGCCATTTCATGTATAAAAATCTTTATTAATTAAATAACTAATTTATGTATTTATTTATTGCTATACATGCATATGCAGGCTTGTTTACTCATTCTAAAATGCGATTTACTATTAGCACTGTCAATTTGAAGAACAGATTTCTCAAATTAGAGAAAGACATTTCAATCAAAACATTTAATCTATAGTAACCTGGAGGTAATGAGTTTGAGTCCCACCTGGTCACGGGATGTATGTTTGTGATGTCTTTCTCTATCTTGTGTTATCCGTACTTCAGCTTAAAAAGGGCACATAATCTGAGGTTTGTAAGTACACAAGCCTGAGTAAGTGTGCTTAACTATAAATAAATAGATGCATCTAGATTACGATGGGACTCGAACCCACAACCACTAACATCAGGGCTCTCCCAACATATCTTTTACATCCCTGATGCGAAATAGTTAAGCTACTGATTTTGTTTAACCTTGTCCAGACATTTACACAGTTACAAATTTGCATTTTTATAGTCTTAAATGTTGACAGCATACCTATAGCGTACATAGGAAAGAAACAGTTGACCGACTAGTTAACAGATATTATAGTAACTGACTAGTTAACAGATATTAGTAACCGACTAGTTAACAGATATTAGTAACCAACAAGTTAACAGATAATTAGATATATATATCTTAAATGTAAATAGCATACCTATAGCATACATAGGAAATAGAAAATTAACCGACTAGTTAACCGACTAGAAGTTGACATGTGTTTGCGAGGTAGACCTAAGTGGTTATCAAGTTGAACAGTATTGCGTCATCTCAAACTATACTAATACTGTTTAAATTACTTAATTTTACGCCATTTTTTACCAATCAGCATAGTAATAAAAACCATATTTTATTGTTAAGTTTACTCAAACCTCATCACAGTGCATTTTGGCTTCTCCATAGAGCTAAAAAGCACGGTATTTTTTCCATATTCTGGTAGTTTTGACCATATCTTTTTCGTAGTATAGAAACAAGCAAAATGCTTAAAAATGAGTTGTCAGTAATTTTTTAAAATTTAGGGGTTACACTATCATATCAAAGTCATTTTAAGTTTCATAACCTCACAATGAAATTAGAAATGTTATCGTTTATAAAGTAAATATTTTTCATATATATCATAGAATCCTTCACTTATAGTGCTATCAATATTTAAATCAAAACAATTAAAAAAATCAAAATTATAACAATGAATTTTAATCTACTAATATCAAGGCACGAAATGTTTCTGATATTTTTTCGCAATACTTTACAATGACTTAAAAAAATTTATATATTAAATTAGCAGACAAAATCATAAAAATGCATCAGGAATAATTAATATCATACTAAAATTTCTTGAATATTTTTTGCACCAGTTTCGACTTCATTTAACAAAATTAATCTTTTAGTCAAATTTATAAATTAAATATTTTTTGGTAAGCAAGATTTACATACGCAAATTTTCCTACTTGCTAAAGGGTAAGTCAAAAATATTAAAAAGTCAAGTTTTATAAGTATAATTATAATCTATATAATTACCGATAATGTATGAAATCGTCAATTAAGAACGTTGGAATGCAAATCTTAAATATCTGAAAGACTGAGTTTAATTTGCTTAAGTAAACATATTTTTTAACTAACTTTAAATGCAAGAAATACTTTTCAAAGATATTTTATTTACCTTAAATACATAACCGGCCTCAAAGAAAAAAGGTAATTAAGAATAGCTTCAAAGATGAATTTGCAAATATTTTGCAATCCGAGCATGAGTAAGAAGTAAGAGTTAAGAAACTCTTTTATATCCTGAAGTTAAACATTTGCAAATTAAATATAAAGTCAAAAGACTCAAGGAAAAGCGAAACATATTTATTTTTTATCTTAAGACAAAAAATAGCTATCTCATTAATTAAACTTCAAAGAATACTAAAACATTTTTCATCACTGCTTTGAATATTTTTTTCTAAATATGTAATTTACCTTCAATGGTGGCTGCATTTTAACTTGCAAAACAGTGAAAGTCATTAAACTTAGTAAAAGTAAGACAATTGTCTCTCAGATATTTAAATTAGAGTTAATTTAAAACTTCAATATACGATGTCAATTTTCAGGTATAACATCAAATTGTAACGAAATTTAGAACACAAGAGACAAAACTCTCAAAGAGTATTTATTTTTGTATTTTATGCTTGCATTTCTAGATAAAAACACAATAATATTTTTTTAACTTAAAGTAATAGGATTTTATCACATCCAGATTATTTTATCACATCTTTTTTCTACCACGCAACCACGCATCTTTTTTCAACCACGCGTACGATATTCCGGATCAAATTATTGAATGAAGTACCGGAACTTTGGATGCAATATCCGCAATATCAATTTTACCGTAAAATGCATTTTTACCTTAAAATATAAAACGTAATTTCTTCAGTAGTAATTAGAGTGATTCAGTAATTTTACGGAAATTACTACTGCAGAAATTATGGTATACCAGATTTGTTGTTTCGTAACATGTTCCGGTATGAAAATGAATTTTGCGATGTCGGTACTTCATAACGTAATTTGACTCAGGATTTTTTATATTGAGCATGATAATGTTTCTTGGAATTTATTTTTTGAAGATAAGAACAGGTATTATATTGATAAAAAAAACTTTTTTTATTTAAAAAGCTTAGACAATGATTTCTTTCTAAAAATATAGAAACATATTGTTAAATTTAAATCTTTGCAACATATTTATTAAATTCTAGAATAATTGTCTACGGTCTAGAATATTTACTTACTAATAGTTAACACTTGTAGTAAATTAGAAAAATAAGGGACACAATTATCGATGGTTAAGGGACACTCTGGTCCAATTCTTCTCTACTTTTGTATACTTTAATTACTTTATTTCAAGCTCTGTAAAATATGAAAACTCACAATTCATCACATTTCTTCATTTTCGGAGAAACTATGTGAAAATAACATTTTATCATATTGAGGAAATTTGCTATCTTCACTTGTTGTTAATACGAATTTCGTCAAAATCAATTGTCTTAGTGATAATTTTGATTAAGATACCTGATTAGATAATCCAAGATAACATAAAAAGAGTATTTAGGAGTATGAATGAATAAAATCTCACTCATGCCCAGTTTTCGAAACCGAAAACGTGTTTGTACGCATTTATTATACTCTAAAGTTAACTCTATATAAATTCAACTCAAGTAATTTTATAAATAATTTCACTCTAGTCCATAAATAAGTTAAACTTTAAATTACACAATCAAAATATTATTATACTGTTTAAGTGTATAAAAAATGCAATGTTGAACTATGCATTCCAAGAATGAGAATTTTCTTCCAAAAATGTTCATTCACTTGATCATTAAATATATTTGCCCGGCAAAATCCCGCCGACAATCATCGTTAATACAAAAATAAGACGATCTATTTTTTAAAGGAAGAAATGTATTTTTTTTTTCTTGAAAATGTGGTTTGGTGTAGTATTAATTTTAAAATGAATTAATAAAAAGTTACCCACTCATTTTGTATTTGTATATATTAAAAATCACCAAGTAGTATAATGGTTCAATTTTCTTAAAATAATTTCAATTTTTAATTAAAAGATAAAAATTTCTCTGTATAAAGGTGATAAGATATAGACCACAAATTATTCAGCAGAATTAAAATTCAAATAGAGGCTTAGTATTTGCATTCTGAACTTTATTTTTAAGAAAAGTAAAAAAAAATGTGCTTTTTAACTGAACATATATTTTTGCTACAGGCAGTTTAAAACTTTATTTCCCAAGTTGCTTTCTCCTTTTTTTTAAACTTGCCATTTAGTTTGTTCTTTTATAGAATAAAAGATTTTTCTACTGAGTTTCAAATTTTTTATCCTCGACCTTCCCTATCATTCGACTTCCATACATTCTCCGGTTTTATTTAACAAGAATTTGAAACAAAATCGTTTAAAGAAATACAATGTTGATCTTATTTAAAGGTTTTAAAACATGTTTTACAAAGTTTTATAGTCCTTTAAAATTTATTTTTTGCATTTCATTATATAAATATTTTAAGTTTTTGAATATACTGAAAGGTGCAAAATAAATAATAAAATTTATAAAAAGTGTTACTCAATAAACATCTGCAATGTCATTTTCTTCTTACGGTTTATTTTAGATATCAAAATTCATTTTCAAAATCACTTAATATGTAACATTTCTTTACACAGTACCAAAGCGTTTCCATAGTAAATTAAAATCGTGAATTCAGTTGACTAAACTTTTAATCAATTGAGTTTTCCCAGAATCAAATTCAACAATTTATTAGCTATTGAGTACTCTCAGAATCAATATTTTATTTGCTTAAATTTTGTTTGATAGTTTATATTTTAATGCTTTTATATATTATAGACCAAAAAAAAATTTAAAAAATTTTATGGAGTTTTTAAAAAAAATCTATAAGGGCTGATCAAATGGAAATTGGGCATGCATGATTAGATACAGCAACAGAAGTAAAGGAAAGACAGTAAAGAAAGATTGAAAAAGAGCACCGCGGATTGCGTATAACTAATTAACTGCCCCCTGTTAGATAATTGAAAAAGATTGTAAGAGTCGTACTAAAACTGGATGGAGTCTTAAGCAGTGTAACTCGCAAATTGCTATTTTAATGTCAGAAGATCATTGCATCGTTATTTAACTTTTACAGAGTGCTACATAGATGTCACGACTCAAAACTCTTGGTTTATCTTTGTTCTTTCATCAACAATGGCAATGGATTCATGGATTACTGTCTTTGACTTTCCTGATACCATTAAATGATAAATCTCCGCATCACCTTATGCTCACCTTATATGTCCTGTTCACCTTATACCAACACGAAAAATAGTTAGATACGTTGCTCAGTTCGAGACGATTTTACATAACTGTGAATGCTTTAATATGAACCACACTAAAAATTTCCGGATCAAATTACGGTGAAAAGTACTGGTACTTTTTACCGTAAAATCCATTTTTACCGGTACATGTTACGGATAAAAAAATATCTGATTTGTCGTAATGTTTACAGTAATAATTACCGTAAGTTCACTAAATCACTCTAGTTAAATACATAATACTGTAAAAATTACGGTATAATATTTTACGGTAAAAATGTATTTTATGATAAAATAGATTTTACGAATGACGCACCTAAAATGCCGGCATTTCATGTCGTAATTTGATTCGGAATTTTTTACTGTGTGGTCAGTATAAGCATTATATAAGCATAAGCATGTTTCTCCGTCACGTTTGCTTCTAGCGTTGGCTCTGCTCAGACGCTATCACACGCGTTCAATTTTAATTATTTATTTCATATGTCCTAAAATGATATCATTATTTATATGAAAAACAAACAATGAATGCTTACGTTATCAGGACCATCCATAGTTTCAGGAAAATGCGAGATTATATAAGCGGATACATCCGTATGTCCATGAAGAACTGCTAAATGTAGAGGGCTTGCACCAACATGATCTCTACTAAGGGCGAATCGTTTTCTGGTAAGTACTGAACGCACTTCTCTTAATTGTCCTTTAGCTACGGCTTCGTGAACAGCTCGTATCTTAGCCTGCAAAGCAATTAATATTATAATCATAGTACTTTTTTAACTGCAAAATAAAATTTTAAAAAATATACTTATTACTCATAACAAAATTCCTATAACCAATAAAGAATTGAGTAGATGAAGATTACAAGTATTGTTCTTATTTATTTATATTTTTTTAAATTAGGATTTGTCAGAGAGAAATGTCTTATTTCAGTCTTAGATAATCATATAACATTAATTTACAAAGGTTGTAAATAGAGTAGATGCAATATGGCCCAGACAATGGCAGAAAATAGAGAATACATATACACGATATTGTAGCGGTACGGTCATGCTATTGTCAATGTTTAAAGTACATAATATTTCCAATTTAGTAGAAGGGGGAGTTGTTTGGTAACATTAAAGTCTTGAAATTGAATTTGGGCTCAACTCGTAGAAGTGGGGCTCAAAGTTTAAATGCTATTGCAAATACTGTCTATGATTAGAGCAGTAGGGCGCAGTACAACTGACGTCAACAAACAACACCTTGCCAATGGTATCCTATGGCTTCCGATCATCTGATGAAAGGTCCAAATTTTTTTTAGTGATTGTACTGAAAAGATGTATTGTGATTTTGCATACACGCTCATGAAAATTGCATTTCTGGTATGTTGACAATATTTAATTTAAAATCCTCATTACATAGCCAAGTCAATATGATTTTAGTTGAAATTCTATTTCGTACAAAATAAAGCTAATTACATTTAAAAGCAATTGATATGCACCCAAAACATATGAATTTGTTGCCTTCCTCAGAAACTAATCTTAATATAAATTTTAAAAAAAAGCACTACTCATTCAAAATCACACAGTATAAGTACTCTTAATAATTTATTCGAATTATTTTTTTTTATTTCATACATAACTTAAGTGACTGCTTGCTGAAATGTTCATTAATAATGAAGCATAACTCTGACATCAGTTTTATTTTTTGTATCATTTTTTAAATATCATAATTCCGACTTACGAAAAAATGTGCTTTTATTGCCTACAAATCTCATAATTAAACGATAAATAACACTTTTTTTCATATCTCTTATATTTTTTAGCCGATTTAATAAAATTGATGATGTACGCCTATAAAGTGGCACTCCCTCCAAAAAATAAACCACTACTTTTTAAGGTATCATGGAAAGTTTCACGAAAAAGATGATTTTTCATAATCCAAAAGTTGTCCAAAATATCTTAAATATACTTCCTCAGTATATTCCGGACTGTTATTAACTATTAATTGCAGAGAAATAGAGAAAAATATAAGCCATAATTGATAAGTTAATAATAGCCGCATTACATATCTAGTTTCTATTTAGTTATTTATTTATCTTAAAAAAGCATATTTGAATGAGTCAGGGACATTTCTTCTCCAACTTCAAGTTTATGGACAAAAACCAACGCACTTCGATTCCATTTTATACCACAATGCGAACTCCGGTCAGATGGAACCGGGGTTCGATCTTCGCCTCCGCTAATATTCACCGGGTACATGCAATATATGCGCTCGTAAAATCTGTGGAATCGAAAGTCTTGTGATCAGTCACTGAGCAGTATCCTGCGAACAGGAATCTGGAGAAGAAAAAAAAATTTCCCTTCAGATCTATGTCTAAATTGAGGAAGTGGCCTCACAAATGAGATCTACCCTGCAGAGGATCAAAATTGTGAAGGTAAGTCTTCGGACATCCTCTGGGATATTGACCAGACTGTCGGCAATTACCTATTGTGCAGCTCTAGTGTCATGTTAATAAAGTACCTATCAATACCACAATATCAATTCAGCGCTTGACCGCGCACTAAGCCATAATTGACGATCTTCCAAAGCATTAAACTAAAGGTTGCATTTTCAACTTTTTTTTCACTGAAGTTATATACTTTTGGCAATAAATCATGTTATTATTTAAATAAATGGTCAAAATTCAATTCTACGTCCTGCTGTGCTGCAAAATGTAATAAAATTCTTCTTTCGCTTGCACACTGATATATTGTCAACTTATGTTCATTAAGTGTCAACTCTTAAATGTTAAACTTTCCTAAAACAGATTTAATTTAAATTGCGTCGAAAAAAAATCATAGATATTTTTGAACTGAATTAAGAAAAAAGACGGGTTAATTTGGAAAGCTTAATGGCGTAAAAGAAAAGAAACGAAAAACTGTTAAAAGAGAATGTCGAAATTACTTTCTTGCTTCTTCCAAACATCAACAGCTGTCTTTTAATGTCAAATGCAGTTGAGTATTAATAAGCGAATGAATTTAAAATGTCCTTTAGCGCTAATAAAATCTCTCTTTATTTAAGAAAGCGAAATAAAATGCATCTTAGTTCCATTTCATGCAGTTTCTGCTGACGAAAATAGATTAACAAACTGGATTTAAAAAAACTAAATTGAAAGAAAAGTTAATACAAAAAAGAAATGTAATTTGTATTGTGATTATCGCCTATGTGACTTTTTAGAAAAGAACTTAAAAATCAACAAACGAATGGTAGAAGAGTACGTCTTAAAAGCTAATTTTTATGAGGAGAAGATATCAGAGCGACAAAGAAATCATTACAATAATTTTATGTATTTTCTTTTTAAGATTTAAGTCTTTTTCTTTCATTTTTCTCTCTTAATGTCATGACTTTTTCCTTAAAAAAAATCATTCATTTGCATAATTATTTGTCATCGGAGGTTTAAACAACGTATTTGAGTTTTTAACTAGAGGTTTAGTACTTCCGATTTCAGTCAAGCATTTAATTTTGTTCTGATGGATTTAAAAAATGTAAAGTTTCACCAAAGTTTTTCATTTTTATTACATTCGCCTTTGTTTAAACATCATACTTTTTTCTTTCATGAAGTTTGATCATATTTTTCCGTTTTCTGAGATTAATCTAGTTTTTTTTTTACAAACTTATCAGAAAAAAGTGCAAGTATAACGAACAAAAACATACTAGAATAATTTTCCGAAGCATTTGAAACTAAGAACATCGCTCTTAGTGTATGCTCGGCAGGTTTTATTCCAACGAAAGAGTTAATTATAAATCTTGTTTCACTCGCCTAATATTCCTGATTAGAAACTCATTTGTGAACTTCCTATTTTGGTCATAGCTCAAATTGCTCACTTAAGGAAATGAACATAGCTCGATATGCATATTTACAAGATGGACAAAGCTGAAAATGTGTGTTTCAGAAAATCGACATAAATTACAATAAGTATTTAAGAAAATGAATACAGCGCAAACACTTTGTTAAAGTTAAAATTAAATTTTAACAACTGAACCAAGAAATATGTTTACTTTTTTAAACACTAAATCCAATCATTATGGAACAAATTTAAAAACTCAGGGTTCAAATTTAAAAACTTCTTTTCCTTAAAAACCATTATTTTTCTGATGTTACAAAGATGTGAGAACCAAGGAAAGCTTCGCTCATGAAAAGATAAAAGCAGGTTTTAAATGGGTCTTAGAAACCTTTGAAAGCGGTTACGAAAATGAAACAAATGTTAATATTTAAATGTATTTTTTGCCTTTCCTCCTACATGCTATTTTTGCAAGAAATATATCGTAATAAATATTCATTTTATTTAAATCTCTAAATATAAATGTAGTTTCAACATGAATGTAGTCTACACTCAACTACATCGTATATTGACTACATAGAATGTAGTGTATATAATGTAATAACGTATATTTAATATCTCGTTAATATCTCTTACGTATATTTAATATCAAAATTAATTGGAATTTAATTTATTTCACACAAAATGTTCAATTTTTTTTAAAGTACAGCATAAAGTTACTTTGTATATATTTAGAAAAAAGTATTCCTTTCATCGCAGGATAATATTTTCAATATCCTAAAAAATTATTGTAATTTTTAGGAATTGTTTCACACAGGGAAAAAGTATGGTCAAAACAACCAGAATATGGTAAAATTTGCTACGTTTCTGGCTCTGAGGAAGCTGCAAAAACTCGGTACTTTTTACCAAAGCACGTTGGTAATGAATTTGATAAAATTAACAGTAAAATATGGTTTGTATACAGTAAAGTATGGTATGGATAAATGTGGTAAAATTTTCTAATTTTATCATGGATTCTCAGAGCATGGCATAAAAATCATTTTTTCGGATAAATTTATTTTTTCAGTTGGTATTTTTTACTAAATATGTGGTAAAAAGGACTATTATTTTGAAAACCTTAATTTCCGATAAACCGTTATCATCTGAGAAGAGAAATTAGCAAATAAATGGGTTAAATACCATATATTTTGGGTTTATTTACCAGATTTATACTTTTTTTCCAGAAATATCACTATGTTTGTATTACCAGAATTAATGTTTTCTCCGTTTTAAAACAATCAAAAATACTGGCACTGCCATCTATCAAAAATATTTTGAACTATACCAAAGAAATCTGGACTGAAAAACGTATACCCTGTCACATGAAAAATCCGCTAAAAGTATTTTGTTTTACACTTAACTGTATTCTTGTTATAATTGTAAGTCTAATTTAGCATTTTTCTGTACCTTTTTTTTATACAATCTGGTCTTTTTTATGCAATCGGGCAATCTGCAACTTTTGAAATAACCTGATAAAGTGATTATCGGTGCCACGGGTGCCTTTCTTTCTATTTTGTGCAAAAAGATCCCCATAAAAGTTTATACAATAATAAGTGTATACAAATAAGTGTTGTACATTCTTTAAAGTACTATATGATATATTCGCAATAAAAAAAACCAAAATAAACTTATTTGAATTTTTTTTTGTGATTTGCCATAAAATTAATATGATTTTATCAAGTACAGTATGTTTCGTGGTTAACCTCAGCTCACACCAAAAAAATTTATAAACATACAATTGAAAAGTTTTCAGTTTGTCTTTATATTAACAAAATTCAATCAAGTGAAGTATATTTTTCATGTAAGTTTTTTTCTGTTTACGCCAAATCCTTTACAGAAAACATTTCATACATTTGAAAACCTTTCGAATTTGTCACTAGATACTGAGATTTAAT